TTTTACATTGCACAAGCATGCTGCGGCAGGTCATATGATCAACATAAATGTTTTATACTACATGAACCTCTGTGCGTTCATCGGGATGAAATCTGTGGCAGCAATGCTTTATCAATGGGAGCAAACACCATGCATTTTGCGCAATTCTTTCGTCTTCCTAACTAACAAACATTCGAAAACTTCCTGAGAACTTATTTAGTTGAAAAGTTACCACCATTCACTTACGCGTAAATATATGTCATGAAAGCAAAAAAAATTATCATAGTTCTCAATTAATTTATCGCGCGTGCTTTAATGTATTACGCAATAGAAAAAAAAGAAAAAAAAAAGGTGGCTCTTCCACGTGCTGTACATATTTTCGCACTTGTACCACATTGAGTTTAGCAAATGTACCACATAGAGTTCGAACATACATGTATAACGCACTGAGTCAGCACTTGTACCACATAGAGTTCGAACATACATGTATAACGCACTGAGTCAGCAAATGTACCACATAGAGTTCGCACATATAACACACTGATTCAGCACGTGTACCACATATAGTTCGCACATATAACACACTGAGTCAACACTTGTACCACATATAGTTCGCACATATAACACACTGAGTCATCACTTGTACCACATAGAGTTCGCACATATAACACACTGTGTTATTACTTGTACCACATATAGTTCGCACATATAACACACTGAGTCTTCACTTGTACCACATATAGTTCGCACATATAACACACTGTGTCAGCACTTGTACCACATATAGTTCGCACATATAACACACTGTGTCAGTACTTGTACCACATATAGTTCGCACATATAACACACTGAGTCAGCACTTGTACCACATAGAGTTCGCAGATATAACACACTGAGTCAGCACTTGTACCACATATAGTTCGCACATATAACCCACTGAGTCAGCACTTGTACCACATATAGTTCGCACATATAACACACCGAGTCAGCACTTGTACCACATAGAGTTCGCACATATAACACACTGAGTCAGCACATGTACCGCGTTGGGTCCAGCATGTACCGTATTGAGTTTGCACATATACAGTAACACACCGAGTCAGCACGTGTTTCGCGTTAAGTCCAACACGTACCGTATTGAGTTTGTACGTGTTACACATTGAGTTTGCACATGTAACACATTGAGTCCGCACATGTTACACACTGAGTCCGCGTGTATAATTACATTGACAGCGAATTTCATCGCATTGAGTCGGCATTTGTACCACATTGAGTCCGTACATATACCGCACTGAGTCAGCACATGCACCTCGTTTTTAATTTTAGGTAGCACGTGCACCACACGGAGTTCGCCGTATTGAGTTTGTACGTGTAACACATTGAGTTTGCACATGTACATAACACATTGAGTCAGCACATGTTACACACTGAGTCCGCGTGTATAATTACATTGACAGCGAATTTCATCACATTGAGTCCGCATTTGTACCACATTGAGTCCGTACATATACCGCACTGAGTCAGCACATGCACCTCGTTTTTAATTTTAGTCAGCACGTGCACCACACGGAGTCCGCACAGGTTCTGCATTGAATCTCCACTTATTCAGTTTTGCTCTTCACGTATATTATTTGCCATGTAACGTTTAAAAATATATTGAAAACGTACAATATGGATACAATTATTGTGACGTGTAGCTCGTCTCCGCACTAAGAAACATTTTACTACAACGGTATGCCTAATAACGGTACAGTGTAAGTATTTGAGAAAAGTTAACAATTATAAAAGGATAACAAGTTCTACTTGTATATAAGTGTATCGAGGAATGTTACAGAAGTCCTCCAAACTGTCCTGTAGGTTGGAACGAAATTAGAAAAAGAGAGGGACTGCACATGTTGGCACCACCTTGGCGTACACCTATAAATGTATCAATCAAATAAATTCCACAACGGCCATGTGTGATGACCGATCGGAAAATGAAAAGCGTTAGCACATATCAATGCTCATATGAAGTTTTTTTAAGTAGTCTGCCAGTAGTTTCTGAGAGAGAGAAAATGGCGGAAGGAGAACAAGAAGCAGAAACGATAAGTCCTTACTTCATTTGTGGAACATAATAATACTACGAAATTTCGGATTTCTGAAGGGGAATAACTCCAACACTAACCAACGGCATGACCCGGATGTATGTTTTGCTTTCTCGTTGGGTGCCAATCGTCCAGGCTACATCGGATGTGGAAGTACCAGAACAGTCGGTGATCACTACTTTTTAACAAGCACCAGTCGTTGCTCCTTTTGTCCCCCTACTAGAAGGAAGCCGCGTGCAGTGAAACCAATTAAATGTATGTTCTAGACAATTTTTTCGTTCGTTTTTGCAATTGTCCTTGAACTACATCGACATGTCACTGATATATTGAATCAGACGTTTAAAAGTGCAAATACCACTTCAATTAAAACACGTGTAGTTACGATGCGGTGTTTTTATATGCTTCTGTCATAACTATGGCAGAGTGTCGGTAAATACGGGTACGTGTATACACACCCAACACCTCTCGGCTCCTTATACACGGTCAGTAAAGGAATGGAGACGTGTCTGTCAAAGAAGGCGCCTTTGGGTGAACCTAGTGTATTGCTAACTTAGTGTGAAGAACGTTGTCTGCTTACATGTATATGAAAGACTCTACTAACTTCGTTTCTGTTTTCATTTTGTCTGTTACAAATCATTAATAATTGGATAAACATTGTTTTCTGTTAAATAACATTTGTTTCATATTATTTCTTTATAATTTATCTTCTCAACAACCAAGATTCCTTGACTACTGGTTCCATTTACAGAAGACCTGGTGTCGTAATGGCGGCCGCATAGCATATAGCATTTTCTGGGTTTTTGTTTTGGTATTCGTGATTAAAGAAGAAAACGATTACACTGAAGTCCCGCCTTAGTCGCTCCTTATAATCATGCAGTTTGATACAGCATGTTAAATGTAACAATTTCTCCAAACCTATAAGGAAGGGGAACACCAACCGAGAAACTTAGGCGTTTTAAAGTATCCTGACTCTCTGATATTCCGTACACCTTGCTATCCGGACTTCTTATTTTCTGAATACACTGGAAAAATATTTCTGAAACCTGAAATCCCTGAGCGTCAACTCTGTGTACTTTCCACTGTATCCCGCGGTTCGGTCCCAACTCGGTGCGTTATGTCTTATGTCTCACTGACTCTTCTATTACCGTCTCCATCTATACGATTTATTTGAAATATTGACAAGGTTTCTAACTCATCATAAGATAAGATTTACTAACCCATTGATGAAATCAAGAAACAACAAAAGTGAATATTATATATAGAAATATACATCGTTTTTGCCAGCCCCATGTTACTTGCCCTCTTGATATGAAATACAAATTGTTCGTTTTACGCACAGAGAAATAGTCCAGAGCATTCTCAGAAGGCGACAGGTTGTACGCCAACTACGCTTCAAAATGTTTGAAGCTACATTTTCGTATGCAAAGCTATTGTAATCACTGTTATTCTGCGATTTAAGCTTCAACACGTTTCAAATAACATTTGTGTATTGGATAATATTTACATATATGTGAATGATTATGTACATAGATCATCTTTATCTATTTTCTTCGATTATATGATAAACAATTTGGTAGCATGACAATACTAATCGAGTTTATTATTACATAAGATAAGGGGAAGTGAGGGTTCATGTACCTATATACCGAATCTACCTGTAAAAATTCTGTCAGAGTCCATTATACTTAAGGAGGAACGTGACTTATACTCTCTGGTCGCTCCCCCTCCCGTGTCTACCGGAATGACACCTACTTGACGAATTCAAAAGGGGTAAAGGGATACTCCGCTAGAGGTAGGGCCGTGAGAGCACTTGAGCCCCCTTCTGAGCCCTGAGAGCACTCCGTCATTGTATTCACAATACTTATGCCGGTATTTGTGATAACTAGTGACACTCGAAATATTTCATTTTATATAAACACTTAATTCGCGTGTCTTTAATGGTTTACTTTGAAAAAACTACCACAAAGTGTGCTTTTGAAATTTTAACTTTTCATGTCGAATTATAAATGATGAAAGAAAGACATCACAAAATGTTTATTTAATGTAACCAACGAAAAGACTTTAACCCTAATCAGAGTTACCCTACAAGGGCTATCTCCTCCGCGGACTCTCGTAGAGTTATTTTAAATATTAGCGTATACACAAAGGATAAAACGCTAACAATGTGTTCCCTTCAGATAACTGAATTCAAAAACATATTTCAAGACGTAGCTCAAGCACCCTCCGACGGTTAAGGGGACGGTATCGGCTAAGATTGGAACCTAAAGGGACATCGTGTCAAAGGAAGCTTATATATCACAATCATCTTGACACAGAGATGTGAACACAAAATGCCATGTCATATATGTAATACCCCCTGTCAGGAGTTAGACTTAAAGATTTTCGGTTGAAGGGTACATATTTATTAAAAACCTTAAGATAGTGGCTCCAATCACACACATTTTGAGGCGATATACCAGCGTATAGGAGTTGTCAGGAGGCGATGTACCGGCGTATATGATTTGACAGGATGTGTACCAGCGTATAGGAGTTGACAGGAGGCGATGTACCAGCCTATAGGATTTGACAGGAGGCGATAAACCAGCGTATAGGAGTTGACAGGAGGCGATGTACCAGCCTATAGGATTTGACAGGAGGCGATCTACCAGCGTGAAGGATTTAACAGGAGGCGATGTACCAGCGTGAAGGATTTCACAGGAGCGTATAGGAGATGACAGGAGGCGATGTACCAGCGTATAGCAGTTGACAGGAGGCGATGTACCAGCGTGAAGGATTGAACAGGAGGCGATGTACCAGCGTGAAGGATTTCACAGTAGGCGATGTACCAGCGTATAGGATTTCACAGGAGGCAATGTACCAGCGTGAAGGATTTCACAGGAGGCGATGTACCGGCGTATAGGAGTTGACAGGAGGCGATGTTCCAGCGTATAGGAGTTGTCAGGAGGCGATGTACCAGCGTATAGGAGTTGTCAGGAGGCGATGTACCAGCGTATAGGAGTTAACAGGAGGCGTAAACCGGCGTATAGGAGTTGACAGGAGGCGATGTACCGGCGTATAGGAGTTGACATGAGGCGATGTACCAGCATATAGGAGTTGGCAGGAGGCGATGTACCGGCGTATACGAGTTAACAGGAGGCGATGAACCGGCGTATAGGAGTTGACAGGAGGCGATGTACCGGCGTATAGGAGTTGACATAAGGTGATGTACCAGCGTATAGGAGTGGACAGGAGGCGATGTACCGGTGTATAGGAGCTGGCAGGAGGCGATGTACTGGCGTATAGGAGTTGGCAGGAGGCGATGTACTGGTGTATAGGAGTTGACAGGAGGCGATGTACCGGCGTAGGAAGTGACAGGAGGCGATGTATCAGCGTATAGGAGCTGTCAGGAGGCGATGTACTGGCGTATAGGAGTTGACAGGAGGCGATGTACCAGCGTATAGGAGTTGGCAGGAGGCGATGTACTGGCGTATAGGAGCTGGCAGGAGGCGATGTACCAGCGTATAGGAGTTGACAGGAGGCGATGTACCAGCGTATAGGCGTTGTCAGGAGGCGATGTACCAGCGTATAGGAGTTGACATGAGGCGATGTACCGGCGTATAGGAGTTGACAGGAGGCGATGTACCAGCGTAGGAGGTGACAGGAGGCGATGTACTGGCGTATAGGAGTTGACAGGAGGCGATGTACCAGCGTATAGGGGTTGGCAGGAGGCGATGTACTGGCGTATAGGAGTTGGCAGGAGGCGATGTACTGGCGTATAGGAGTTGGCAGGAGATGATGAACTGGTGTATAGGAGTTGACAGGAGGCGATGTACCGGCGTAGGAAGTGACAATAGGCGATTCCCCGGGCATAGGAGTTGACAGGAGGCGATATACCAGCGTAGGAAGTGACAGAAGGTGATGTACCGGCGTATGGAGTTCACAGGAGGCGATGTACCGTCGTAGGAAGTGACAGGAGGCGATGCACCAGCGTATAGGAGTTGACATGAGGCGATGTACCAGCGTATAGGAATTGAGAGGAGGCGATGTACCGGCGTATAGGAGTTGAGAGGAGGCGATGTACCGGCGTATATAGGAGTTGATAGGAGGCGATGTACCGGCGTATATAGGAGTTGACAGGAGGCGATGTACCGGCGTATATAGGAGTCGACAGGAGGCGATGTACCGGCATAGGAGGTGACAGGAGGCGATGTACCGGCGTAGGAAGTGACAGGAGGCGATGCACCAGCGTATAGGTGTTGACAGGAGGCGATGTACCAGTGTATAGGAGTTGAGAGGAGGCGATGTACCGGCGTATATAGGAGTTGACTGAAGGCGATGTACCGGCGTATATAGGAGTTGACAGGAGGCGATGTAGCGGCGTAGGAAGTGACAGGAGGCGATGTACCGGCGTATAGGAATTGACAGGCGGCGATGTACTGGCGTAAAGGAGTTGACAGGACGCGATGTACCGGCGTAGGAATTGACAGTAGGCGATGTACCGGCGTATAGGAGTTGACAGTAGGCGACGATACAATGTAGGAGTTGACAGTAGGCGATGTTGCAGCGAATGAGTTGACAAGAGGCGATGTACCGATGTAGGAAGTGACAGGAGGCGACGTTACAGCGTAGGAGTTAACAGAAGGCAATGCACCGGCATAGGAGTTGACAAGAGGTGGTTTTACAGCGTGGGAGGTGACTTGAGGTAAAGACCGGCGTCACCACTATTCTATCGACGGCAAAGTGTTGATTTAATTTAACTGAAGGTATTAACAACGAGACAATGAAATACTTTAGCACAATATGAGGATGAAACAACAACAAAAAGCATCAAAGGACATTCAAGGAAATGTCTATCCGCCCCATCGCCAATCCAGGAAAAGATGGAAAGTTAAGAAATTTAACAACCACCTGCAAAAGGTTGTAAATATTGAAGATGCGAACTCATGCAGAACAGATTTGAGGATGGTCGGATGTAGCCGTGGATAACGCACAAGCCTTTCACCATGAAGGTTGGGGTTTGATTCCCTGATTGGACGTGAAAAGGTATGGGTCACCTGCCCGACCATGTGGGGTTTCTCTGGTTTCTCCGGTTTCCTCCCACATTAGATAAATGCACTAACATCCAGGCTAATAAGAGTGAATAGTATAAGCTTTTATAAAACTTCAACAACGTAAACAGTGACGGACGGTCCAAAATGATCGCGTATATGAAGATCCAAAGGACATATATGTCCTGCATCAGAAGTTATGCAAAGTAACGCTAAGTTAACGTCGCTAGATACATAATCGCGCGGGACTTGAACTCGAGATTATCGATCCTTGTGAATTAATACTAATATATATATACTGCAAAATCGAAACGATTTACCGTGCTGACATATCAGATTAAGTGTTCAAGACGTTAATGCACGAGATTGCACGGTCTCGACTTCTTTTAGCGGTGTATCACGTGATCACGCGGTTTCGCTTCCTGTTTGGTATTTATCACGTGATATCACGGTCTCGGCTTTTATTTGGTATGTATCACGTGACCTGATGGTCCCGCCTACTGTAAGAAATGTGTAGCGGAACTGGAATGGGTCGATCGTCAGCGACCAGGTGGCTCAATTGGTAGAGCGTCCGTGTAGAGGTCGGAGGGTCCCGGGTTCGAACCCCGGTCTGGCCGTGTATTTTCCTGGTCCTGTTACAGATGTATCACGTGACAACACGGTCTCGCCTGTTGTTCGGGATGTATCACGTGACCACACGGTTCCGTCTTCTTTTTGGGAGGTATCACGTGGCCACACGCTCTTGCGTTCTGTTAGCGGTGTATCACGTGATCAATTTGTCTCTCCTTCTGTTAGGGTTATATATCACATTGTCACAAAACGCTTTATGGGCGAAATCCTCAACTAATAATTAATGCGACAGAGGTAGGGTCATGTTGCCGCCGGTTTACTGTATAGATCAGTAATATCGGCCCAGTAGATGATATGCCCCCTCACTGAACGGGTATACGCCGTCATTGTCATTCCTGATCTCTTATTTCACTCGGGTTCCGGTACATAAAACTGTACACTATGTAGGTTATTTGTTCGTGGAAATAAAACACGACATAGGAACGAGATAGATGGATGAATTGTCGGTTAAGTCTGATACCCGTGTTTGTATCCAGGTATTCTTACATACCCGGTCTGATTCGTCTGTAGGTACGGGACGAACACTCGCGGGGCCTACACTTTATTTATTTCTTAATATAAACATTAACACTATTAGATGTAAATTTTGTGACGTATATTGGGTATATGTCTTAGATCGAGTTTCAAGAAATGAAAGAAAAGAGATGCAGATTTCCATATCATTGTGTTATACTGGAATGAAAATCGACAGAGTAATTGGTGTAACTGTTGCCTCCCTAGCCAAATTCGTGTCATATTTATCTGTGCTCCTTCAATTTGTTTTTGTTCACTGTTGAGATAATAGGTCAGAAATATCATATAAATAAAATATACAATGTCGTTAACACCCAAGGCCAAGAAATAGGAACCTGATACAATAAAACACAATCCCGAACCGAGAAAAAATCAGTACAAAAAGGAGAGACACGACAACATCTACATCTTCGTATGAAAAGAATTTGATGTTAGACATACCATTGTTAAATATAACATTCATTAGAAAAATGAGCCAGATCATCACGAACGCGCCTTATTCACGTCATAGCACTTTCATTTTCTTTAAACATTCAAGTGGTCAATAAAGTGTACCGAAGGTTTTTGTTTTTGTTCGATTGAAAAAACAACAACATTTAAATCAACAAATAAGAGTTCGTGGGATATCGCCACGAGGAAGACGAGTAGAAATGATCGCGTCACGATGACACGTCGTTGTGATCCGTAGTACAAGTAGTATTGACGGGAACTCGAGTATTGCTCATGTCCACATACCAGGGAACCCTCGGTATGTCCGCTGACTGGTGATACACAGCTTGTAATTACCTATAAACAGTGTGTTACAACACTGTAGCCAGGTTCATGTCATTGTGTCAATGTCTGTCATTCGTGTAAAGATGTTTATCGAAAAACAAATTGTCATCCAGATTATTCGTAGGAAGGTTTTGTAATGTTCTGATATCAACAAGTGGCATCGCGTGTTTCATAAAGAAAAAAAACACGATTGTTTTGCTATGAATGTTGATATCATTTAAAACATTAAACCCTAAAATCTGACTCTAAATCGTCATTCGCGTTAAGCGCGTTCACCTTTTCTGCAATAACAAATGCGTAAACTTCAAGAACACCCCGTTTCGTCTCCGTGTTTGTTTGTTTTTTCCTTTTGATTTTTTGCATGCTTAGTTCCTTTTGTTGTCCTCGAACCGGTTCAGATTCTTTCGACATATGTTGTTTTCACTTAAAACCTATATATGTTATTCTCCTTTGAACTATTCAGGATTATCCACCACATTTCAAATATCCCGGAATGTGACCAGTTGATGATGATTTCCCTTACTTTGAATCCGATACAATCACTAGAAAAGTGACATACGGATGCGTCTAGTTAAAATATTTGCTAGTCGATGCGGAAACTAAAAAAGAATTCTTTTACTGCAAGATATTATCTTTAGTCAATTTAGGACCTATCGGCCGTACTGGAGGTCTATAGATTGTAATCCTTGCCAGAATACATTCCAGGTAAAAATGACCACCTGCAGGGTCAACCACCTGATGACGTTAACACGAAGAAAGAAAACTCCTATTGGAAACTTTAGTAAGTCGACGTAACGAAGAAAACAATGTGTAAACACGACCCCACTCCGCTGAAAGCTGACGGAACCAGGACGTACTGGTGATTGGTGGCACATCGGGAACATAGGACGTAACATGGTTACTTGTGTAAGGAAATCGTTTGATAAATGAAGTAAAACTCGGTGTCATTAGCGTTGTGGAATAAATCACCAGAACTTGTCAGTCCCGACAGAAACAGCACCACGGTGTATATCTACTAATAACTTCGCGTAGCGGAGATATTTCTTAATATATATGATGTATATCAAAAAGCTTTGGAAGCCTCAATTTCCTCAAACGAGATACAAAATGTAGCTTCATTTCTGTTTCCAGATACATATCACTTCTCCCTGGTCACTTCTGACACCTTTTCCATTTTGCTGTTTTCTAAAAAAAAATCGTAGCACTTTAGACATTGATTTTCATGTTTTTAATCTTAAGTACATGTACATGTACCAATGATGAATCGATGCATTGAAAATGCTTACTTTGTTTAGTTTTCAGTACCCACTTACTTACGATGGCCGAAGGCGGCCAGGCACATTTGAAGCATTTATACTTCGTTTGTGTATACCACGATACACTTTTGTGTGGTACACAAACGAAGCATTTATACTTCGTTTGTGTACCACGGTACACTTTTGTGGTACAGTTTTATTATTCGTTTCTGTCCTATTCTACAGCCGAAGGCGGCCGTGGTACAGTCATTGGCCTTTTGACATTAAAAGCTTTTGGAATGATCAGCATTCAAAATTTATCACAGTAGTATGATAGGAAACCAACCCTTGTGTTTAGGAATTGTACGGTAGCACTACAGCACCCATTCATTTAGGTATTCCAAATTATTAAAATAGTCGTTAAATTAATGGTTATTTTATTACAATTTATTATTTTATAAACCAGCGGTTGTCACGAGTACCAAAAAAGTAAAGTTAAAATGGAATTTTCGTAGTTTGTTATATGTTTTATTGCGATGAATATTTTCACAATACAGTTGGGCCTAACTGGTTTCCGCACTCCTTGCAAAATTAAATCCATGGATGGCGTTGACAGATATGACGTCAACTTTTCCTTAACTTTTATTTGACACCAATTTCTATAGCTCACTTCTTTTCCAGCCTTTTTGTACTTCTGTATATTGTTGAACTTGAGCATGGGCCCCAAGAGAATAGGAGGAGAAGCGGTTAAGTACATGTAATTTCAAAACAAAACACGTATCGGAACATGTAACCAATGTAAACG